GAGCTGAACTTGCAGATTCTCTGCTGCTCTGCCTGTGTGCTGCTCTGCAGGACGTGGGCAGCAAGCGCCTGGTGGCCCTGGTGACTGTCCCTGCATCAAGGGGCAGCTCCTCTCCCAGGCAACCAGCACTGTGTGTTGGGAATCAGAACTCTTCCCAAACTGCAGTCCTTGAAGCTTAGTGTTGTCCCTATTTGTGACACTGAAGGCTGTGTATGCCTTTGAATCTCTGCCTTTTCTCCGTGCTACTAGAACAGATGGTAGAGTAAAAGATAGAAAATCCAGCAGGGAGCAGAGGGGCTAGTGCAGTGTCTCAGCCAGGTGCAGCTCCCTCCTGAAACTGTGGATCACAACCTTGCTCACCTGCTCTTTTGCAGAAATGGACAGTACAGGAGAGTGAGTGGATCAAAGAAGGAGTGAAGAAGTTTGGGGAAGGCAGATGGAAGTCCATTTGCCAGAAATACCCCTTCCAGAACCGCACATCAGTGATGATCAAGGATCGCTGGCGGACCATGAAGAAGCTGGGAATCCTCTAAAGGTGGAAGCCAAAGGACCTTCAAAGCAGAAACTTTTCCTTTGCAAGATGGACCAGAGCAATAACAGCAGTGAGGTGCCAGCCCTCTTCTTGAGTGGTGGCTATGGGACAACTTGGTACTAGGGAACACTGCAGCAGGTGGGACCTGTGTTTGACAGGAATAAGACACCCTGTCTTCCTAGCTGCAGCTGCCAAGTTTACACCTGCAGTTGGCAGAAACTGTTCAGCCTGCCTGGCACCTACTCAGACATGGCCTGGAGTGAGACTCTCTTCCACCTGCAGCCTTTGCAGAATGGATTTCAACCTCGTGGGCTGCTGAAATGACAGTTTTCTCTGCTTGGATGCTGTCAAAAATGGCTATTATTACATGTTTTAATTTGTCTTAAACTGTGATTGTGTTTTTTTTTTTTTTTTACATTTCCCTCTGCTTTGTAAACGTGGAGTTTGCAATTGGGAATTTCCTCTCTCCTGTCCTTCCCTAAAGGTTCTTGAAATGCTTATTTTTTGTTTCAGCATTAGGTATTGATTGTTCCCATATTAGAAGTTTCAGCGTTAATGATTTTGATTCTGTCTTAAAGGGATTTCAGCTGTCTAGCTCCTTCCCCTGGCACGCTCGCCCTAAGCGTACGCCGAGGACACGGTGGTTCTCGCCTCCTGGCGCCGATGTCGGAGTCCTTGTCTGAACAATATTCTGTGAAATAAAGTTGTTCTCACGCCAGGTGTAGTTGTAGTGCAGCCTTGTGTGTCCCAGCTGGGACTGAGGGTGTTGGGGCACTGGGTGCCCTGGGCATGCGCCACCCTGGAGACGTGGGGCTCCGCACTCGATTCCGGAGCCGGGCCGGGGCCTGGAACGTGGTGACAGCGGCCTCTGCTTCCAGGTGGGCTGCAGGGAGGCAGGGCCGCCCTCGCTGGGCCTGCTGTCCCGTGACTGGCACACATTGGGCTGAAGGAGGGCCGGGTGCCCTTGTGCTCGTGGCTAAAGGGGCACAGGCACCGCAGGGCCGGCTCGGGGACTCCCTGAGCTCCGCCTGCTCCTCCCTCAGCGGGGTTGGCTCGCCCATCTTGTGTCCAGCTTCAGGAATGCTGCCTTGGTCTGGTCTGCTGCTGGTTCCCTCAGAGCCAGGGTGGGTAGAAGTCCCTTCTGAAACACCTGGTGCCTCTGTGTCCTTCAGCAGCAGCAGCTGCTGCAATGAGTGTCCCCGTCCCCTGCTTGCTGCCCTCCCCCTCTGCCTGCAGTAGCCTCAGGGCAAGGGCTGGGGCTTGTGGAGTCCCATTCTGGGCTCCCTGTTCTAGGATCCAGCTTTTTGTGAGCTCAAAGCGGGTCAGTAAGTGCCAGTGTGAGGAAGCGCCTGTCCCCTGTGTCCATGTGGAAGGAAAAACCCAGTGCTGTGAGGGGCAGAGCCCGATCCCCCTGCCCAAGGGAGGGTACAGCCACCGTGTGCGAGTGTGGCAGCGAGGGGGACGCGTGGGTCCTGCTCTGGGGCTGCGTGTGGGCCCCGGGGCTGCGCTGCCTCCGTGCCCAACGTGCCCCAACGCCACCCTGCAGCGCGGGGCTGGACCCAGAGGAGCAGCTGGGAGCCTGGTGACACAGCACCAGGGCAGCAGCCCCCTGGCACAACCCTCGGCGAGCTCCAAGGAGGACGGGGCGGGCGGGCATCACCTTGAGGCGCCGTCCTGAGCGCAGCGCGGTTAATGATTACCTGCGGCCACCGCGGGT